CTCCGGCAAGAGCTTCTTTTTTCTATCGATCACATGGCAGAAGCTGCAGCGATGGTTCTTCCCGAAAGCTTTCGTCCGTCCGGCTGACTCATCGCCGTGCTACCCCAGCCGAGGAATTCGAGCGTCTTGGCGACCCCACGTGTAGAAGCGAAGATTCTTTCCATCGATAAACTTTTTAGAACATCGTCCACATCTCGTCGGTCGATTCCGCTCAAACTATTCCGTGTGCCGGGTACTCTGCGTCTCTTCTTGGGTGATTCCCTCATCGCCGATCGGCGATCCCCGCACGCCCTTTACGTGTTTACATCGCGTCGTACGCTCTTCGAAGATTGCAGTCGCACCGACCGCTCTCCTCGGCCCCATTACTTTATCGCTTTTCTCGCGCTGTCTGCCACCCTCTCACCGTCACGCATTCCCTCGCGTCCTTCGTTCATCGCCGCACACTCAATCATCAATGGTGGGCGGCGACATCGCTCACCGCGCCGTGCGACGTCGCGCGCGACGGCCACCATGTATATAAGGCCGCCGGCGCGTGCTCTTTTAAAGATCCGCTTCCTCTGCCCGGCTTGCGTCTTCCACTTTCGCGTGCTCTTTTTCGTCTCTGCTCACTCGTGGGACTTTGGTGAGTTCGCTTCTTTGAACATATAGCCAATATCACAGTATTCCTAAGTGATTCCCATAGGTAGATACGGTATGTTCCGCTGCTTAGAAAGTGATCTGCGGAAAGAGGCAGGTGTTAATTTCACGCTTGTAGCCGTTTGGCACAAAGATCAAAGGCGCTTAATTGCGTAGTATGCAAGGAAAGTCTGCGCAAAGGTTACCTGCGTCGATCCCTAACGGTCACTGCACTTTGCATGGTGTCGCGAGGATAGGGCAGTGGAACTGCGTAGCGTGTTGTGCTAATTACTGCGTAGTAATTGCTTTGTATCTGTGAGGTTTCCCATGTGTGCGAGTGCACCTAGTTGGTATTGAATCGGAGTAGTTGGCTCGTTTTGTGACTTGCACTGTGGTTGTGCAATTGACTTTACACCTAGACAAATGAAAGGTGATGAGAGTTGAGAACAAGTCTAAGCAGCGGAACAGGCTTGGTAATACTGCCAGAAGACACCCAGTAACTTGTAGGTCATGTCCCGATAAAACTGATCTCAAATGAACTCATCTCATTAATCAGATTCTGTTAAGGTTTGCTCGGTACGATACGCTAGTCGTAGCGCTCCCGTGTGGATGGCGGGCATTTTAACAGTGTGTGAAGTATTGATCGGATTAGATAAAGCCATTGCTTTTGCATGCGTTTTGAGCGATTTTATTGACGCCCGTGAATAGCGTATATTCACAAAAAAACAATCCAATCCTGAACAACAAACGTATTCTTTAATACCTGTTGGAAAAATTTGGGGATAAAATTGGAAAAATCCGGGTGTAAGGATGGGAAAAAATTGGAAAAATCTGGGGTTAAGAACGAGATGTGAAAAAAATGTCGTGACTCTGAAAACCAGCCGCCGTCTATGCAACTGAAACATACGAACAAGTGTAGTTAGAGGGGATGGCTCGCGGTGGAAGGGTTCGCTCCAGTAACGGTGGGATTCCATTTTTGAAGGAGAAGCTCCAGGGTCGATGAATCAGGTTGTTTATGCAAGAAGGGATGTGGAAGTGAAAATGCTTATCATGGTTTCGAGTGCCCGAATGTTCTGCGCCACGATGTCCCACTTCCTTCGCCCATAGTACACTTGAATCAGGGACGGAATTCGAGTCAAAATTGTAGTAATAAACAATAAATAAAATAAAGGCACTAAGTAGTAAATAGCTTCGTAATGAAGGACACTCAAAGTTAGGCCTGATGGTTACGAAACCAACGCATGTTTTGACGACGATGGCCTGAAATCGCGCAATTTCATCTTGGAAATAGGCTCAGGTTTTACAAGCTAGAAATTTCGTAGGCGGCAGGTGATGGAGACAATATGCGATTAAAATGTCCGCGCTTGCTGTTCCAGAGCAGTTGGTTTACATTGCTTAGGTTTGTCGTCTTGACTTCCCGATCCAAAACTTATGGTCACAAGTTCAAACTTCGCCCTGGCCTTTTTCGTAAGAAATTCGACATTCCGCGAATGTGCCACGTGGCGCTGGAATGTACCCCTGGCTCTGCCATGCTATCATGTGCCATGCTGGCAGTCATTGACAAGTTCCTCCAGATCGACACGTACTCGTAAGGAGCTACAAGTCCGTAGATGTGGTTGTCCTGGGATATTTGAGATAGCGTCTTTTTTGGGAAATGTTAGGTAACGTTACGGTTGTTACATTACGTTCGTTATTCCTAGAGCTTCACACTTGCAGTGTTTCTGCAACGAAGCCGCGAAGGCGAAAGTTGTTATGGGTCCGAAAGATCACCGCGGCATCCACAGTTTCGGAGAAATATGCATACAAAAGATGTCTTACTGCCTGATCTCAACAAGTTTGGCTGACTTTACATTCCGGTTTTTACGTTCCGCAGAACATCGGCTGGTAGCTGACTTCCAAAAACCGGCTAGATCTTGGTCAGTGGAACTGATGTACATTCACTGGTCATCGTGAGTGCAACAAGCGAAACTTGGGAATTTGTTAAAGGTAGTTCACTCTCAGCTTCCCTTCCCGCCATGTCAGGTTGGCTTGGTGAGGTTTTTGTGGGCCAGTCATGTACTACGTTGGGCAAGATATTCGAAATTGGTCCAAGATCTAGTATCCAATCAGTCACAATTCGCTCCTACTTCAATGATATGAGGAATTAATCGTTTTTCCACCCTATCTCTAGTCTGGTTCACCTGGTTTGAACGATGAACAGCGGGAAGACGAGTGTTTGCGACTATTCTGATGGGCTGTCAGTTGAATATGATTTTAATTTTGCCTCGCTTTGTCTCAACTGTCGTGACAGGGTTCGTGTATCGTATCGAGCACATTCCTGAGATATAAACTAGAAGAGAAGCAGTGGCAGTGTTCTGCGTTGTAAGCTTCATCAATGAAGGCCTAATACGAAACCCTAGATACATCAAGGGTCAAGATTTTTTTGTATTCTATTAATATCAGCTAAATGGCTCGGGGCAAACTATTTTTCAAAAGAAGTTCTTATCATTCTGCTCATTCTGATATCAACGGCTGGGTAATCTACACATTGCTTCCATCCTTAATCATCACTTTAGGAGGTTAATCCGACATTTCGGAGTGGCGATAACGGGGTTGCAAATGTAAAAGTGTTCATTGACTTTTGAACAATCTTTTAGTCTGATATGGTTATGCAAACAAGACGAAAGCCATTTCGAAGCCAAAATAAGCGCAGAAGTTCGTTCTTTCGCGATGTGTTGTTTGATTGATTTACTGTAAAGAAGCAGACTGTACTGTGACAATACACTTTTTGGCGGAAATGGTATTGGCGGTGATGCATTACCACATGCCCTCGTTTGGCTACACTTCAGGTCGCATTCATCGTGCGACCGGTTCTGCAAATAAATTCTTGCAGAACGATTTCAAAAGCAATGATTAGAAAGACCTGCACTATTTGCACTTTGATGCGCATTAGTGACAACATGCTGGTGCAAAATGCTGACCTTGGTCGATGGGGTTCTCAGTCTTTTTTACGGCAATGCAGCTGTGTTCTTCGAAGCATTTGTTTACGCCAATGCATGGCTTCCCCATGTTATCCAATATCGTTGTTGTCGTGCGGATCTGGCTTGGTCGTTGTTGTCAGGGGATCGGCGCCATTCGCTGCCGCAAACATCAAAGATCGTGCTGGGAAAGCCTGCAGCTTCGAACGCAAATATTTGCTTCTGCAAACGAATTCTTCGTATTTCGTGTAGGGATCGAGGTTCAAACGTATGAATATTATCTGCTTCTGATAACAAGAACAACATCGACAAGCCCGTCAAACGTGATAACATGAAAATACAAAACCGTAAAGGTGGAGTGATAGAATTTCCGATACGACTAGCAAGCCCATGGTCTTGGTAAAGTTCCGTCTCGTTTCATTTCTAGTCTGTATTCTCTCACTTTCGGTCGACATAGCTCCTGTTGACATAAATGTCACTCTTTTCTGGACCTGCTCGATTCATCGTTCAGGGGAGAAAATTAGACCTGACTGAGAGCATCTGGAGCCACAGTTACCCTTCTGTTGGCGCTGTCCTTCCTTTTTGAGATTGACTTTCTTGAGCTATTGGTGACTCGACCCAAAGTGGTCGATCTCTACGAATTCTTTTGGGGTAAGACATGCACCAAAACCACGGTATTAATCATAGAGGCATTTGACAGCATGCATGGAGTAAACAACATGGCATCGGCTGACTCTGAAACAGTTTTTATGCCTCCTGTGTCATGTGGTCGTTCCAAGAATGAAGGAAGACTTGCTTAAGCTGATCATGGAAAGCTGTTAGTCGGAAATCTATTTGTATTCGTGTGGCTCACCGCTGCTGCGGAGTCTAAATTACATTCCTTAGAGTCTTCGCGGGTTGAAGTTAATTTTAGCACACTAGCTATCCTTGTTCAGTTCCAAAGCGAGAGAGAAAAGAGTCGGTGCCACAATCTGTCATTCCAAACGTCTCACGTGTGATGCACTGCTTTGGTAGCAATTCCTCATCTGAGAGAGTAGCCGTTTTTTCCGAAAATAGCGAAAAAGGTGGTATTCTCTCTCATGGTTATTCTGTGACACAGTCATCCATATCAGAAGTGTAATAGGGAAACGTCATGTTCCCCTATCCACGTCTAGAGTATCGGTTGTGGTAGGGGATGCATTCGACGGTCAAAGTTGAGTAGATGTTGGCTTGTGCAGTGCATCAAAGCTAAGGATTCTAATATTAATGTTGAACCCGTTGTTTCTTGGTGGTGCACATATAACCACCGACTTGGACAAACATTCATGGGAGAGTCTGACTGAGTGTTGAACTGGTTGCTTGAAGAAACTATCTTTTTATTTCCAACGGTATTTCCAACAGGGCGAGTACCCTAGTTTTCATTAGCAAGCTCTTACATCAGCAGTCGGTATGGGTGTCTCCAGAAAGGTAATTCCTTTATGTACTGCAAGTTAGTCTTTAGTCGTTCTGTAGGCTCGGCTGTCTGCATGATTACTCTCATCAGGTAGATGGGCATGCGAAAGGTGAAACAAATTGGGAAATTCAGAATTAGGGAATAATTTGAGTTAGTGGTTTTGGTAACGTTACCGACCTCGAAGTTTAGAGTTCCTAAGGTTCCCATTATGTGAAGGGCGTGGCAGCTTTTTAATTCGAAAAAGCTAAGTAATCACACGGCGGAGCTGGTATAATGAAAAAAACCTTTGTCACGAGTTGCAAGGCATGGTTGCCGACCTTTTTTCGATATCGACCACTAGCTTTGATTGAACAAACTAGTGAAAATAATAAATATTTACAATTTTTAGCTGAATTTTTGGGACCAATATTGGTAGCGAAAGGGGTAACCAGTACTCGCATCATCACGGGATAAAATCTTGGGAATTCCTGCCTAGGCTTATCACTTCTTTCTGGTTGCGTTCTTAGGGGCCATAGCTGCTATGTAGAACTCGTTAGCAACTTTACTCTAGAAAAAGAACAGATCAAATTCATGGGTCAGTTATATCAGAGATACTGACTTTAAGGGGTGGAAACTTTGTTGGTGAACTGGACTGATGTAGTACTTGCTTGAGCAGTCCCTTACATGATGAGAAGTATGAGATCTGGAGTTTCGTTGAGGAATCCGATCACGCCGGTCACCTCCGAAAAGGCGGCAACTAAAATCTTACTGAAAAATTTTATGTTCGTTTAAGATGATTCAAGAGTAGGAATAGTCCAATTGAACTTGATAGTTCAGTTATCGGTCCTGGAATTGTAAGAGAAATCGTTATGCGTCCCACGAACTTCTAGAACAAACATATGACGAAGACTCTCAACAGGCCAGGTCATGGATGTGCAGTGAGAATTCGAAGCTTTTTGAGCTGCTGCACATAGTTCCTTTAAAGAGGGAACGGTACAGGAATGCTGTGCGATCTTATCGCAGAGACTTTTTCCCAGCGTTTATATCCATTACTGAGATGCCTGCCAATCATGTGCATACCCAAAAGCGCCTCCCGTCGTGTCATTCACGTGAGGATTCAGCCCTGCTTGTGACGCACGAAAACGATGTGACATGTCCGATAAACATAGACGCTCACCGAAGATCAACTGCATAAGTTTCCCAGAATATCACTTTAAGCCTCTAGCATGTTCTATTTCCGGAGGCATCAGTGCGCGGTAGGATATGAGAAATCGTTGGCTAAATCGTGGAAACATTGGAGTCCTCGAAGACATAGGGAAATTGGAAAGTAAAAACCCGACCTCCTCTGTGAATAAACGGTAGGAAGACAGAAGAAAGATGTGCTATTCTCTCATTGTTGATTGTTTCGAGATGCGTCATGCCCCCCGCTTCCGATCTATTTGGAAGGTTCCCCTGATCAATTTATGATTGGGCTCAATTTTTATTTTTCTTGTCAAAACCCCTCGAATTTGTCTCGAAATTTTGGTTCTATTTATCTTGATCAAAATGCTTCACATTGTTTGCTATCACTTGCTCTCACCTTTCTGGAAAATTAGTGGTACAGTCCACGATAAGTATCAGTTTCAAAGTGATTATATTGGCTCATTTTTGCACTTCAATCTTTGGAAATCGTCCCAGCTATGCTGTACTGAATCATGCTTTAGAAAACGCGGTCCGGTGTGATGTAATGATTTCCTATCCTACTTGTAGAAGCGTTCCTTTGAGAGATCTTGCAAAATGTGGCCAAGCCTCAGACCTACCGGGTGAGGGTCGCAATTTGCATGGCAGCCATTCTCCTTTTCACTGTGTGTAAAAGTTTCGAAACAGTCATTTTATTAATTGCCAGTTTATATGCAAGCTCTTTCGGCGTTATCGTGCTTGCTATTCATTGTGATGAAGTTTTTTTTTCTGGTAGGGACTTTTTTGCCATTGTTATCAAAATCACCACTTTTGAAGTGTCGAAGCTCATATCGACAGATTGGATGCCATGAAGCGCGGTCGCCGTTTTCGTAAAAGTTGATGAGCCATTTTCTCACACTAAATAAATAATAATGCAACATCCCTTTGTTACTTTTGTAAATTAAGCTAGTAAGTCACTAACAAATTTGGGTAAGCTTCCTTACCATGTAAGGGGAAGCAAAATTACAGTTACGACAGTTTTCTATGCAATAATATTGCGTTTGCTTTTGGTGGATGCCATTGGTGAAATTAAGGTTACCACCAAATATATTAGGAGTAATAGCCGATGCGGAAGGATGAAATTTCTCATAAGAGTGGGATTTCATCCTAGACTGCAAGCAAGGAGCGATCCCTCTGACTCAGTTGCCACTACGTAATCTGTGTGCCACTGCATAGATTTTTAGCCTAATCCTGGACAAGTAAATTGTAGTGATCCTCACTTGACTAAATTGTAAAGTGTTTACGTTGTTATGGCTTGCTTACGAAACTGCTTCTGAAGAAAAATTGGAGCAAAACTCAATAGTGGCAGGAAGCAGAACAGTTGAATTTGGAACTACAATTAGTATACTGAATTCGAGAAAATTGTCGCTGAATTCGAATTATTCTCCTACAATGATCAAGAAAATCGAAGATTCAATGAGTGAAATGAAGTGAGTGAGTTATATCAGTTGGAACAGTTTGTGTGGAGGCAGACCATCCCATGTGGTATGAAGGATCACTAGTGGTTGCCAAATAGTAGTTATAATGGACTAATTGTAATCCTCATGGAATACTGCATGACTATAACGCATGCTCCAAGGTTGTGGGCGGGGTTTGTGCTGCAGGCGTGGTTATCAGTGTGGACCCACAGTAGTAGATTTTATTACAAATATATTGTATCATTTGGAAATCGAAACACTTGAATTAGGGACCGGCGGCTCTGCGCCTTACCAAGAATTTTAGGCTATCACTGAGTCTGTCCAGAAGGTGTACTCTTCATTTCCGTTGTATATGTGACACGTCTTCAGGAAATCACGCGCTTAACTCGGAATATTCCTTATTCAACTAGCAGGGATCGATTGTTGCTTTCGACACTGTGGAATAACGTGGTTTAATGTTGGGCCAAAACGCAGCGCTGGTGCAGTGTAATGCTTATCGAGAGTTAAACCTTTTGGTGACGACAATTAACAAAAGCATTCACGTGTATTAGTTGATTTTGCGCTCAAATTTTCGCTCATTTTCCATCCTACCGCGCAATTTTACCCATCAGAGCTTATGTTGTAGTTGTAGCAAATCGTTTTGGCAGCCAGTTCTGTTCGACAATGCACTGCTGGAATTAAAAACAGTATCCTAATTAGTCATTACCTCGTAACCAAGGTGACAAATCAAGAGGGTGGTGTCTGTTTATTGAAGATATTTCGGGTTGCTGTCCACGGTGAGCATCAGGCGCTCTCTGATGAGCAGTACGACAAAAATCCCTCGTGATGCATGTGTTGTTGATCGTTCGCAAACACCAGTTCCGATTGATACTGCGCTAGTTGCTGGACGTCTCTTGATAGTGCTGTGTTGTGCAGACGCTCACATGAAAATCACCTGAACGTGGGCGGTGTAGTGGTAAGCAAAGATCAATGACGTCAAAGAGCGGCTGCTTTTATCAACGGGTAACTTCTCCCAATGATTGCGCACATCCGCCTCCGTTCGCGTCGCTCTTCAAAGATCACTGGCGCTGCTGTAATTTTGGAAAGCAGTATGTAGAAAACAGCTGCTAGAAGTGTGTAGTATAGGACTACCATTTTTTATCCGGTGCTCAGTGAAGTTTGAAAAAGAAAGGCGAGTAAATGTGAAGGACATGGACTGCTAAAACTCCCGAGTTCAAGCAGTAACGTCGTTGTCTTTGAATTCCGTAGGGCTGTTTCCCAAATGTGCTCACGTTCAGCGCTACCGTAGTACCCATATTCACAAATGGAAATGTACGAAAAGATCATTGTTGAAGAACAATTAAACATTGGTTAAACAATGCCAGTAGAACTCAGTTTTTATTTTTGATGTAAAAAGAAATTCTGCCAAATTCGAGTGGTGCATGGCTTACCTGATTGTTTCCAGCGTTGTCACAATGAAGGATACGTATTCGTTGTTACACAGTTCAGAGGATCCCGTTGCACTTGATTCCCGGTCTCTACATGATGGGAATTAGTCACTTCATATCACCGCTTCCGTTTTCGCCAGCAAACAGTGCGTTAGTCATACCGCGCCAGGCTAGTACAAACTTGCAATGCACAATGACGTTTTCGCCTCTAGCGTTCGCTGAACTAACCCCAATCAAGGTGCGCATACATATATAGGATGCTGAGATCATCTTTGGCTAGCCTAGTTTCCTCTTTTCTACTGATTCTCTTACACTTCGTAAACCTATCCTCAATTCCACCCATTTAACTTATGTCTAGGTATCGCAATCCTGCAGTTTGTTTGATGCGTGAAATGATGATTTCTTTTATTAGCTACTGGGAGAAGTCGCGGTTAGCACAATAGGTTGTATGCTGTAGATATACAGCTGTGCTTGTTAGCTCTGACTACTGCATTGATAATTCGCCAGGAAAACGGGAGCCTCTTTCGCTTCGCTTCTTTTTCTCCTTTTCTTCTTTCTTTAGTTCAATCGAAAAAATAGAGCTCTTCAGAAATGGACGTAGTTGCGTATCTGCTCCGCTAGTAATAAAACAGAGCGAGAAAAAGCAAAAAAAAACTCTTAGGAATCCTTAAAATGACGAAGCGCGTTGTTTATATGGGCGGGCTTTA